TATAAAATAACCTAAAATAGTATATTTATCTTTCATGGGTCTAAAAATTAATACTAAATAAATATAAAACTATAAGTAATTATTTTGAAGATTAATTATATACAGTATTAAAATGATAAATCAATTTGGTATTTGTCAAACTGCTATTCAAATTATTAGATTATAAAGAATTAAAATATTTATAATATGTATTGTTATAAATTATGATAAACCAATGAGTCGGCTGTCGAACTTCCATGTAAATTATAAATCTTGAAATAAAAAAAATATTTATGATGTATATTGTTATAGATTATAATAATAAACCAACAAGTTATTTATCAAACAACAATGTAAATCGTTAACTCAGAAAAAAATTCAAAATATGTATGTACTTATATATTATAATGATAAATCAATTTGTGTGTCAAATGGTCTTCAGAATTATTTTGTTAGAAAATCAAATAAAGACTTGTTGATATCCGAGTTGTGCCGATGAAAGATCCTCGGTCCAAAGATGATGCACCAGATGAATACGACCTGAATACTTGGATCAGAGTACAAGTAATCACGAAGTGCTGAGCTGGTTAAGATACAAAGTCAGCAGAAACGGTGAACGGATAAACCCCCGAGGCCGGTGTCTTGGGAAGTTAGGCGACGATGTCGACCTCTTTCTACACCGAGCAGAAGGAAATGCTATCTGAGGCCAAGAGATGAAGTATGAGTAAAAGTCTGACCTGAAGATCCCTTAAGGTCAGCTTTAGTAAGAATCTAGGGCCTAGAAATGATATAATATTGCCACTTGTCGACTAGTGATTGCTGATGGGACGCGCCACTCTAGTCAATTACCCTAACTCGTCTAGCCCGACCAAAAGGTATGTCAGCATTAAATGCCCTACATGTGTGCATTTAATGTCTGACAGGTAATCATTGAAGATACCTCAAATCGCATTTAATGCCTGTCAGAACGGCGCCGACTTGTTTTTCAGAGCTACTGTACAACGGGACAGGATAAACAGTGTCGAATTTAAGGATACTATAAATAGGCAAGTCATTTCATTTATTATGGGTTGTTGAATCTCTCACCAGCTGCTCTCTCTACAATTACTCTCTCAAGTCTGTAATTAATTTCCGTGTGTTGGTGAAAATGGATTTCACTCGGGCTCCTTCAACTCGAACGACCTCTATACTTGCAAGAACCCAACGCCGGGAGGGGTCCCAGCGTTAGGTCTCCGACGCTCAAGTCAATAGCACTCCAAAACTCCAAATCCCAAGAGTATAATTATGAATGTAGAGAGAATGAGAGAATCCTTAGCCACCTTTTATAGGGGAGTGTACATTGGGGCCCAAGTTGCGCTTAGTCAATATCATCAAGCCGCGTGTCATAGCCCATTTGCAGTCTTATTCTCCAATATATCCCTTCTTATCTATTAAAACCGGTCTAGTATAATATCCTATATCATCTAGTCCCCCCCACTTTGGTCGAGTAAGCATGACTCGATCCAATAGTGACATGCCTCTTCGGGCTGTTTCCGTCAACCTGCCACTGAGGTTATAATTTGAAAAAATCCTCGACCACCAAATAATCACCAAACCTCCAAATGAGCATCGGGACCCAAATAAACACCAAATGACCACTGAGGTAAAAAACCGAAAGACCCGCCGCTGGAGTGGAACATCGAAAGACCTGTCTCTGATGTCAAAAATCGAGTGACCCGCCACTGGGGTCGAACACCAAAAAAATCGATTGACCCGCTACTGTGGTCAAACACCAAAAGCCGAACGACGACTGAGGTCGAATATCGAGGGACCCGCCATTGGGGTCGAACCTTGATTCTTAGAGTAGATTATTGTGCTCCTTATTTTGCAATGTCGACCTTCCTTTGCTATCTCTCGACGTGCTTACTTGGACTTCCATGATACTTTGATAGATTTTCTCGATCTCTTCTCGAAGTCTTGAATTTGAAAATTTGAACTCACGTCTATTGATTCTTGACCACCATGTTCGAGCTCTCTTCGCTCAGAGATAAACCTTTTCGACCACCTCGTCCTATCGCCCCTCAGTTCAAAATTTGAAATTCAACCCTGCTGCTTATCCTCTCGAAAACCGAGTTTCAGGCGCCGGAATATGATGAAAAATTTGTTTGGGTTGAGGGGCTTTTAGTTGAGAATTTGATAACCTCGAAGGACCCAAGTGCAATTTAAAAAAATTTAATCAAATGCTAATTTGGTCCATGGGCGTTTATGTAATTAATAAATAGTGTATAAAAAATATTTCTGTATACAAGGGCCAAATATATACATTGTTGATACCAAATTTTGGCCTAGCTAGCCTATTAAAAAATTACGCGTGGATGTATATATTAAATAAATTATTTTATTTTTGGGCCTTAAATAATACCGCTTGTGATAATATCGGGCCCATTAAATAGATATATATATATATATCCCCGATGATGGACACAGACAGATAAGTCTGAGGGGCTATTATAATTTTTTCCTCTCTCATCCGCAATAAACTGGCGGTGCTTGGGGAGATTTTCTTTCCTGGATCTTCCTTATTCTTTTTTCATGGAAAATATACATAAAAAAAAATCCTCAAAAATCACCGAAAAATCCCATACAAATAAATACACAATAAATTCCCCTGAACCCCCATGTTGATCAAATTTCGAGCATCAACAGTTTGGCGCTAGAAGGAGGGCCCATAATTTGTTCGGGTAATTTTCGCCGCAAAAATGGCCACATCTCAACCGAGAAAACAAGACTACACCATGTTAGTCTTTTTCTTCCTTTACTCATTACACTCAGAACAAAACGATATAAAGCCGCAAAACGCACAAAATATGTTTTGCTGTGGCCAATTTCTT